ACGATCAACAGAATATATGTACCGGAGCATCAAGACTCCCATCAGCTCTGCTTGAGAAAGCTATCATCTTCACGGGGTTACCCAACAGAGTCAGCCAGGCAGCCAGTCGCTCGCTCAACGCCTGCCGGAATACTCAAATTATATACTAACTGATGTTTTTGTTTCTATTCAGCGGCTGTACCTGTGTGCTAAAGCAGTAGCCGCAACGGGTCGCCCTTCGACATATGATTATTATCTCTCTGTTAGGGTGTCCATCTATGCTACAAGTGCAATAGGAAAAGCTCAAGGAGATAAAAAAAAAAACACGGAAAATATTATTATCGCTTGAAAATTATTGTTATTGTATCTCGTTACAATTCTCTTGACGTAGCTTCTACGGTTGTGTTACCGCTGATCTTTTAGCTTGTTGTGGCGGTCGCTTCTAGCAAAAACGCTTGTCCTGTACAGAGCTGTATGAGGCATGGACAACATGGCGTTCATTGCTGACTCTGTGAACGAGCAAAACACTCAGCTGAGGGGCCTACAGCTGCCGTCGCTCTCGTCCGATACAGTCCCTCACTTACGCTAAGTAAATAAATTAGCGAATAAACTCTGACCAAACATTCAGGCGTTCATAGCTCGACCGAAGTTGCAAACTTACGATCCGGCTATAGGGATTCACACAGTCTGGCTATTTTTTTTCTTTGTGATTTATTATTTAGAATTGAGGTTAGCGGAATATAAGATTGCTTACGACATCTTCTCGTCTGAGTGCGATACATTAGAAGCAGGAGGCAACGTAAACCAGAGAATGGCAAATCACGACTTATCAATTGCTTTAGCTCGTTCTCTTATAATTCGCCAGGGGGCTAACAAAACGTTGCACTTATAGAAACTTCGAGAAAAGCGTGCGTTTTTTTCGAACTATGTTATCTATTTATTTTGCGGCGACCGTTAACAATAACTCATAAAGGGGATGCCTGCATTTATTATTATTTGAGCACAGGTGTTTGGTATAATTTGATTAGCCTGAAAAGGTTCGCGATCTAAGCAGTAAGATCGCTTGATTTATCGAACTTGGCCTTTTTTTTTGTTTGTTTTTTTACTATGAAATCAAATGAGAACTCTCTTCTGCAAAATTCGTGGTGAATCTATGCCAGTTTCGTTAAGGATTCATCGGATCAATGACACAGCCACATACCTCTCTAAGCAATATTCGTTGTGGAAATATTTGAAACACCCCGTATTGTAAATCGCGCTTTCCCATTTAGATTATCGCTAGTTGATTCATCCAGATCAACTGGACCTGCAGCAAATTGTTTTCCGTATCTCTGGGGTCAGCATCGTAAAGCACGGTAGTTAACGGTTTGGTCTATGTGATATGACCTATTTTCAAGTAATGGCTGCTGGTTAACTTAAACGTTAATATAGCAAAATGAAGAGGCTGATGCTTCAGGGAAACTAAGGGTTAAGGAAAAAGTAGGTGCGCATGTAGGCGTCTGTCGCGTAACAGCTTCAACCAAACATTTCCGCCCGTTTGTTTAGTCATTCTCAAGGGATATACCTTCAGCCATAACATAATCAACCTAGTTAACGCAAAATGCGAGCGGCTAGTCACCTATCGTTCACGCTAAAAGAGGAGCCAAAAGCCTATAGGCACACTTATTTCTCTCTACTGTCGTTTCAAGTAAATATAGACGTTATGCAACACAACAAACAAACAGATTTTCGCAAAAAATCGATTGTGTTAGAAATTTGTATAGTATTTGTTCGTGATTCATCTGGGTTACCGTAAGGTTTATCTTTTCACGACTACCTCTTGAAATGAACGCACAGCCGAGAGGCAGTTTACCCATGCGAAGGCAGGTCTATCAGGTACATAGGTGCCACTTCACCTGCCTATAATAAGTCACCTTATCCGATCTTCGTCGGAAGGGTTGCTTTAGTGTGCCTTCGTGCCATGTCCTGCCCGTTGATCCTTCTCCTTCCGCAGATAACAGGACAGCATCAGATAAGAGTCACCAACACCCTCAACTCGATGAGTGGAAGCTGGCTAGACCAAGAACGTACCCATCCTGTCGGCATTGAATTGCTGTTAACAGCACACGAGCGATGGGTCCGCCATCCATATTGAAGAACAAGTAATCACAAACGTCTTGTCAGATTGCCTGCGACGGCTGCCGGGGTGCCGACGGTACCAGATCTTATACATGCCGTTGTTGGTCACGCAGGATAGAGCTGTCTGGTTCTAGTATTTAGGGTGTTTTAAGGTGATGATTAAGGCTGTATAAGGGAAGGCTTCATAGATACGACCGACATCGTGACTACGTCCATAGGGCTGTGTAGTAATGTTGATAATCAGACGATCGGCGTCTAGGTCGTATACTGAAATGGTTCCGGACTAGGTAGACACCTGCTGAAGAGTGGGGAGTGGTGGTGGTGGTGATGGTGGCAAGGATGAGGACATGCTTCCCCTGGGATACGCTCAGCAAGACAATCTGACTTGGTCGATAATCACATCAGAACTATGGCAGCTCGTGATAAGCACCTTCGATAAATGGGAAACTAGACAGTATGACTGCAATGTTGATTGTATAGTTGGGGGTACTAGATTTTTCATTTTAGTATCATCCAATTGAAGACAAGCCAAAATCATTGTCAGGTGCTAGAGCTGTATTTTAATAACTACAAAAATGAATTACCATACTACATTAACTACCTACGACTACATCATGCTAATGTGGATCAATAACCTAAGCACATATTTTGTTAACAGGGTCAGTGACTCTTGTTTCTTAAAGTGACTCCTTCTGCTTTAACTTCCAACATAGCGCCAAGGTGGCGCTATCGAATAGATCGTCATAACCGCAGAGAAAGATTGGACATTGAAAATGTGGATTCTCATCCAGCCAGCAACCTAGGGCCTAATTTTTGTTGGGAAAAAATCTATCCAGTCGCACAAATTAATTTTTCAGGAATCTTCATTCCATTTTTGTAAAATGGTTAATGTCGAAACCATCGTGACTTTACCATATGAACTTCCCATGTCAGATTTCGTGTTATATAATTTGATTGATATCACATATTTCGTCGAAGCAGAATCTGAGATGTGTCAATTGGTTCTGTATGTCCTATTTAGGATGTAGGAATTACTAAATTGCATGGAGTGGAACACCTTCATCCAAAAGCCCATGGATACCGCATAGATGTGAAAGCCATGAATATGGCGCTTCTCCTCAAGATTAGCTAATACCGCCAAGATGAATCTCTTTCCCCTGGGTCTGGACAAGTACGTTTGTAAGATACAGTCGCGCGGGTTTTTCTCATGTGAATTTTTTTAACAGGATATTTGATAGAGTGAAACTAAACATGGCAAATGTATTGCTGCCTGTTTCTATGTTTTCAGCTAGTCTTCATTCGTCGACTCCAGATTTAGGCAGGCTCAAAGGCCCTACATTTCGGTCATGAACAATCTTTCAAGCGCTAAAACTATTAGTGATTTGCGGTGTTTATAGTATTAGATCTTATTGGACGAGAGAGATAACTTATTGTTTGGGTATAAATAATGATGCCAGTATAAAGAAGGACTTACACTAATGCAAAATTCATCGCGAGAAAACAGCTTTTCTCATGACTATTATGATAACAAAGGTTGTACTAAACTTGGGGCTGGGCTAAATGCTTCACATCACATGGCTGTTTATAAGGCTGCGTTTATACAACAATTTAGGCTGTGAAATGGGTGTGCTTCGATAACTATTAGTTTATATAAGCATCCCAGAGTAGCCTATATTTCCTAAAGGATAGCAATTTTTAGCAAGCGACACGCTTGCGCTCACGCACACCTGGTGATCATTACCCAAAAATTATCTATACCTAATACCATCAATTATTTGAGACAAGCGACATATTGTATACTGTTGTTATAATAAGGTGATTCGGAGTCTACATTCACACTAAGAGCGAAGTACCGCGATAGATCCTGTTGGTGCTCCCCATCAACAAGCAGATTCTCTATTCCCCCTACTCCACCCGTCCTTTTGGTCCCCCGCTAGCACCTTCCACTACGGCACTGCACCGTGTCGATCCTCATCAAAGCTTCGCTTCGGAGTCTCAGTTGAGAGTTGAGACTACGAACGATCGCGAAGCGGGACTACCCCTCGATTTAGGGATCTCCGGTCGTCTGCTCGCAACGATCAGCTGATTCGTTTTGGTTGATGGTGAGCGTTGGCCGTCTCCCTCAGAGCGGCGATAAGCCGACAGTCGACCCGGCTAGCGCCTCGCTTAGTCCGAACGATGAGCAGCGAGAGCACCAGACCCGATCCCATCTTATCCCTAAATACAATCCCCCCGTCAGGTTGTTTCCCTCTCCTCATGCCCCTCTGTCTCCTCGTGCGCCCCGAGGCATCGTATCTCCCGTCAGCATCCCCTAAAGCATCTCTCTAGGTTCCCTTCGTTACCCTCGTTGAGGCCCACTCCCCCGCCTAAAGAAGCCCCGCCCAAGACAGCAGACTCCGCCCCAAACTTGCGGCGTTTCCCTATGCGAGAGGCAATCGCGGGATGGGCGGCGGTGTGCAGCAGACGGCTGAACGGGCCTAGGGCCCATCCGCATCCGAGGGACCAAGTAGAGCCAGAGCTTGACACTCTTCGCTCTCTACCGCCGGGCCTTGTCTTGATAGCGGGACTGTGGTTTTTCTCAGCAAGCAGCGAGACGCGCGAACAACCGCTCAAATAACCTCGAAGGCACTAGGCACAGAGACCCTGTCCCATACATCGGAATCGCGGCGTTCGCGCACTCCCCATTGGTATACAACACTACTGATACCATCCTGAAGAACGGTGCGGAGAGCCACAGCCATAACCAGCTATACAGCAGCATCCAGCTAGTACTAAACTAAATCCAACAATAATGTTATCAATATTAATGCATCCACTGTAATTGTATGTGCGTATATATAGAATTATTATTAATTGACAAGACGAACGAATTGTTGCCGTGCGCCTTTCCTAAACATTGCGTTACCTTCACCTGCTTCGTCAGTAAATTAGAACCAGATCGTGAAGGCGTCCTAAATGGACAGTTGTTGCTGGAGGATGGAATTCCAAGACTCTTCAATAGAGATCGTGTTCTCTAAACAAACGCCTTAATGTGAGGTAAAGCACAATTACTTTGTGGTACGTCGTCCTCGCTACCGTCCGACGGACTTTTGGTATTCTTGTGGTAGAAGCGTTCAGGCTGTGAGGTGACTTCGAAATAGTCTGTGTTTCGGATTTAATATGACCATGACAAGCGAATGCATTGGTCTGGATCTCTCAACGCGACCGCTTATCGCTAGTGTTGACGCCGAGGTGGACGATGAGCAACGGGTTGAAGAGAGACGCAAGTGCAGTTACCTTATTGACGACCTGCTCAGAACCGATCATCATAGCAATCATCACCGAAATAACTTCCATCATCATCACGCTAGTGGACAGAAGGACCATACCCATAATGGTAACAGTGACCTTAACGAATACAGCCAGAACAGCATCGATCAACTTAGGACAGGTCAGTTGCACTTTCTCGATCCATCATTAGTAGGTTGGCGTCAAGTTTATTATCGCAAACGTAACTTAATTAATTGATTGCACTAATGCCTCAGTAATATCCTGTGGAGTCAAAGCTCCTATACCGCACTATTGTCTGTATAACTTTGGTGGCAGGGAGCTATTCCGTACAATTGGTTTTAGAGGGCCTATGAGCACTAATACCATTAATAACCGCCAAATATAGAAAAGATAATTGTTCATTTTGTAAGATTCTTTGATACTAAATACTGACAGTATCTTAGAAGCAAGCAAGCGTAGCAGCGTCTAATACTACTCACTGCGCTCGGTACCATTAGTTACCGATTTCCATTTCAATAACCTGTCAACTTCAATTTATTTGAATTCACCAACTTGGTGACGTGAGAGACGTTACAATGCGTTATCGAAATATGCAGATCAACTTTGAAATGCAAGTACTGTCTTTGCGATACTTAAACATATCTCTTTTGGCTCGATTTTTATCTAGTTTTAGCTTTGATGTATCGCTAGCCGCTATGGCAACGCAAACCATCGTATGGGCGCCTTCGGCCTCGTGCAATAGGCTGTAGCTAGACGTTTCTAGAAATATGACATTGTCACGGAATAACTTAAACCTGAATCACTCTCTAATGCGATGTGCTGTCTGGCACCAGAGCTGAACGTTTGATTACGCCGATTTTTTCCCAGGTTGTTAATAATGATGTTTTTTTTTAAACTTCAATCCCATTGAGGTATCGATCCTTTAATTCTCTTCTTCCTCCACCTCTTTCTCCCATTCCCACTCAATTAAGCAAGAATCTTTTTAGGCCACCTCGATTTCTAATGAATGACTCATTGGTCAAAACAACTTTTCCATAAGGAGCAAACGTTTGTACAATGCACTGTAAACTTTGCCCATGGTCCTTCGTTTGTATTCTTCCTTGCCTCATAACGGTCAGTTATGTTCACTTCGAACGTGAGTATAAAAATTTGACGGTGAAATCTGTTGTATGCACAGTGATCGCCTCTGTGGTTTGAGTTTCACATCGGATATCGTTGTTAGACACTATATCAGACACACGCCCCGCTCCAACCACGAGAATAAGTCTGTTTACGATCAGGTTCGGACTTAAACCACAAGATATCCCTAAGATTAGTACCCAAATACGTTTTCCACTAAGCTATCACGGGGACGGGGCGCAACGCAAACCGGGTGAGACTTAAGCTAAAGTGGCCAAAGGCAAAATGTACAAGAAGCAAACACTAGAGGTGCAGGAGCCAGAGGACCTGACTTTAGTGCGCAAATGGAATGTCACTGCAGCATTATAGGGGTGAAAATAATACCTATTTGAAGAAAGGTGTTCGTGTTGCTCTACTGGATTACTTTCTGTTATAAACTCACTATTAATGATTTGGACAACGACAATCATTTTCCAATTGCTTTTTGACCGACAGCTGTCGTTTATTGTGTTTGTTAAGCCACATTCACAGCGATCATTTTAGGTTTTCAAGCTGGCCAGCTGCTGCAATTTGACAGTGAAGTCAAACGAGACATCCATTACCAGTGGCCAAACTTAATGTACGCATATAGCATGTAGCGACACTATCGCCACATACATAGAGCTAAACGCTGAACCGATTGTGAAAAAGGCGGGCATATTCAAATCAATTGGAGAATACAGCCACCGGATGACAACCGTACGACACAACTTATGCAATACAATATTTAAGTATTAACAACCGATCTTAGGGGCTCGTATATATCGTTAACAATTGTAGAATGACAGAAATGAAGCTCTATAGTATTTCGAAATTTATAGAACGACTGCACTCTGTAGTCGATCGATTTTTAACAGGATTACGAAAAGAGCACCTTTGATACGTCAGTGTTTACTAGTCGCATCTTTTTATTATCTCGTCGACAATTGTACTTGTGCTTCAAAACGTAACTTCCCCAACCGGACCAAACTTGAATCATGGAGCCTTTCCTAATTGTGTCTGAATATAAGTGTATCGATAGAAATGTAACGAAATGTTGTGGATAAACAAACAAATGACTCCATTGTCTCTATTCCCATGTCGGTTCTCCACTTCTACTCACCGATGTCCGCGATGTAAGTGAAAAATCAGTGCCCCATGACTCTAGAGTATAGGTGAATTTTTTAATTTTATTTAAATAAATGATTTATAATTAAGATGCTTTATCTTTCTTTCAAGAGCTGTTGATGCACTCTGGACCCAGCGTGTATCACACAAATTAGTTTTTTGTGAATTTTCGTATGTACGAGAAGCCTCCTAAAAACGTGATTAGAATAAATATGTACAACAGCCTAGAGGAGGACCTACTGTGGCTAGAACAGTTGAATTAAGATAATAATTGTACGATTTTTTATTTATATTTGAACATAATGTTCGTTAGAATTCAGCTAATATGCAGAAGTGCCGAATGTCTTCTGGTCAATTTTTGATTTGTATTATTTATTATTATTATTACTATTGACAGCATGAGGGTTGTGGACGTTAGTACGCGCCCCGACGAGAGCGTGGGCAGGGAAAACTGAGAGGGACCTCAGCCATCGGTAACCGTCGACATGGCTAGATGACGCTCTGGTCCGTCTTATGAACAAAACCAATAGAAGTGGCAAGCTAAAGTCGTGGAGGAACATTCGACCGTGAATTATTGGATGCGGGGGTGGACAATCACAATCGAGCAGTTCGTATTGCTTACGCACCGTAGGGGTTCTACATTCGAGAACGCTTCAAGCAAGTTGATTGTCAATTTCCAGTTTCAAATCCCCGCTTTAGAAATTTTACTCGTTGATTGCTGCAAAGGTTATCATCTATTGTTATGAACGGGCAGCTGTACGGAGCACTGTCATGTATGGAAAATAAAGGATTCTATCTAACAATAGAATTTCTATATAATAAGGACTCAGTCGACCACGTCTAAGGCCAACTTGGTGCAGCAGTTAAATGCCCTAACGGGCTAACGGTTTCGACACAACTATATAGTTCGGCAATCCATTTAGATAGTGCCAACGTTTGTATGTTATCAACTCGGAACTTTTTAAAGCATACCCTCTAATACGTATAGTTTTACGTATAGGAGTTTGAAATACGTTGTTAAAGAGGTTCGTTTACCTTGTTTGATAGTTTGTCTTAAATCAATTGAGTGACGCCATCGATATGTGCATCGTTCGGAGGATGCTGTACAGATTTCAACGGCATGCACCTGGCAAAGCTTCTTGACGTGCGGTCCCCTGAGTTCTCGCCAATGACAGGTCAGCTCAAAAGTCACGATGCATTTATAAGAGAAGTATGTCTGTAAAATTAGAGCGTTTTCACGATCAAACTGTGAATGAATGCATTATTTATAATACGTTTATAAATAGTTCCTCGATAAAACGGTGAGAAAAACAGAACGCATTTCAGAAAGGTCCTAATGTTCTAAATCTAGCCATTACTGGAGACTCAGATGTATACTGCAAGGACAAAGAGCGACGCAGGCCATTGTGTCATAACTATTTTAGACCGATTAATATGTATATATAGATATATGTACATATAATCCTGAAAAATATGTCTGTAATCATAACGTCCTTCCCTATATACACATTATTTCTATTTAAATTGCAAGAGATTCTACATCAATACACTGCTAATGGCAGTGAGCACGCAGACTCCGACAGACATTTAATTCTTGCAAAACTGCGGCTTTTAAATCTTCCAGTGTCACTGATTGCCTGACTTACAGTGTCCTTACATTAATAACAGGCCTAAGAAACAGGCAGGGAACCCTTCATCCAACCCATCTGTTTGGAAGATATGCTCTTACAGATCACGATTATAGTGTGTAGATGCTTCAGCTTATTAATTTTTTTTTCTATTTTTCGTCTTCATCAAAGTCCGACCGCATATGTGATAAAACAGATTTTCAAAGTACGTTCAAGCAGCTGCTGCCGGTTACTGTTCGATCAAAAACTCTATCTAGGTTTGTGTTTAAAAGCCTATATTTTCTGGTAAATTTACGTGGTGTTCGTGCGTGCCATGCGAATTTGCACCTGTCCAATAGGTACAATCGTATCGATTAATTAGGCCATTTTTTATTGCTGGAAACAATCTTGCTCACATTTTTCCAACATCATTGGCAAAAATTGTTTCTTCAGTCCGGATCATTCTCATTGATAGCATTGCTATTGTTAGGACGTCCTTCAATGCGATAAACACTTAATTTGTTATTGCCAAGCTTGTCACCTGATTGTCCTGCCAATTTTTGAAATATTTCTTGTAGTGTTCGTTCTTAAGCGGTTTGTTGATGTGTCTGACCGGGACGTCGTCCACGAACCTCTTGAACATTTCCATCAGCTTTACACCTATTTTTCATCTGATCAGTTGTAAGTCACGTTGCCAAAACTTTCAGCCATATTATCCTTATACTTGCGCTACCTTTTCATACTTCCGCTGCCATTTTAAAATATTTATATTAATATTACATCATCATAATATCAGTTAATATTGACTTACTTACTATTTTCAATTACTTGCGCTCTGATAGGGAAGCACAATCAGAGAGCCGTGACCGGTAAAACAGTGTATACATTTCTTGAACGCCCTGTATATTGCTGCTAACAACAAAGCTAAAACTAGCGTATTGCGGTCTATTTGGCATCAGACAGCTTGTTATATCTTTTCAATTATGCTGTTAGTACTACTCGTGTATATATATATATTTATATATGGCTAAACTTAGATAAGCTTTGGCGGGATGTTTGTCGAAGGGGGCTTCTGTTTGTTTACTCTTGTAGAAGCAAAAAGCGTGTTTTTTTCCAATAACGGAACAAGTTCGTCATGGCGGAAGCCAATGTGTTATATTTTTGCGATATGAGCGAAACGGAACAATCGTTCACTATCTTCGCCCACAAAAATCAAGTATTTCCTATTTTGTCCGAAATCGATAGTTTCTGTTATTGGCAGTTTTCCTAAAATAATGCGAGAAAAATT